CGTCAGCCGGAGCTGGCAGCCAAGGGGCCGAGCCCACGCCAGCCCTCCCACGCGGGTGCCCTTGGGGGATTAGGCTACGGGTGTTGATCTTGCTGGTAATTTTGACTAACTAATTTCCACTATCCTGGAAGCAGATTTTGAGGGCAATCTGCCTCCCACATCGACTGTGGTGTGAGAAAGCAGAGCCTCTTTCGAGAGCCTCTTGATCTTGAGGGAAAAGGTAATTGTGGTAGTTGACATACGGGAAGAAGTATCCCGTCAGCGGAGGCTGGAAGGGACGGGGCTTGTAAACAGCCCCTTGCTTTTGCGCATATGAAGCTGTTGTCTGTGCAGAAGCTCTAGCGCTGCTCAGCGATGGCCGTTAGTGACATTCGCCTAAGCAGCCGTGTCGTGGACCCGTTCGCCATGGCAGACCTCGGCGTCGCGTGGGACTTCCAAAAGCTTTGAGCGTTTCTCCGGGCCGGCTCACTTTGAAGATGATGGGAGGGTTTGTTTGTCTCTTTCTGTTTGTTTTTTTCTCGTTTGGAAAAAGAGTGCGGCCACCGCGGAGGCCTTTGGGGGAGCACAGCCAGTTGTATTCAGTTTTGAAATGCGTTTGGGTGTTCCCAGTAAAGTCCCCCGGAGCAGAATCTGCTCTTGGCACTTTTGAACGTGGTGACTAAGCTGGAGGAATTAGCTGTAACCGTCGTGCCTCCGTGCTCCATCCCTTTGAACAGTCAGTTAACGTGACAGCGTGGGCACCGACGCGGCCTCCGGGGGTGCTTGGCTGCAGCGCCTGTGACATTTTGCGCAGCTGTTGTGCATGACTCAGAGAGCGACCGAAAGGGCGAGAGCTGAAATCCCGAGGTCCTTGAGGACACCGCTAGGACGGGGTGGAACGGTCATGGCGCTCGGCAGCCAAACTCCTAGAAACTGCCAAAGCCATGCTGTGCGGCGGGCCGAGCCCTGGCCGGGGACAGACCCGTGGACGCTGGCCAGGGCATGCAAAAGCGAGACAGCGGTTGAGGTGCAATAACCCGCCGCGAGGGATCACGGCGGCG